GCCATTCATTAAGCGAGGACCTCATGTGACTGCAGCTTAGGACTTCCTGCTGGCTTCCCACAAGCAAAGTCAGTGGGGAAACTGGCAGGAAGTCGCAAGTTCTGGGAGTCTTGCAAGCAGGCCAGCGGACTGAGTGCCATGGAGCATGGCCAGGGGGGCGGGTGGCTGCTGCAGTGTGGCATGAGCATAGCCAGGTTGGGGGGGGTGCTGCAGAGGATGGAAGGGTGCACAGGTGGCTGCTGCAGCCCAACGCGAGCGCGGCCAGGTGGGGGTGGGTGCTGTGGCGGGCAGGTGGGTGTGCAGGAATGCGGTTGGAGCGACTTGCTATTTCCCTGCTGGCTTCCCCATTGAGTTTGCTTGTGGGAAGCCAGCAGGGAAGGTTGCAAATTGCAATCGTGGGACGCTGCAACTGTCATAAATGTAAACCGATTGCCAAGCGCCTGGATCACGATCATATGACTGTGGAGGTGCTGGAACAGCTAGAACTTTGAGGACCAATCATAAGTACCACTCGTTCAGCACCGTCGCTAACTTTGAACAGTCACTGAATGAATGGTCGTTAACCAAGGACTACCTGTAAGGTAAAATCTGCAGTCCTGTGCACTTAGAAATGGATGGAGGTTGCTTTTCTATACATAACTAGAGGTTCTTGATCTTCAGATTGTAGTATATTTCTAAAAAGAGGTTTTTAATGACTACTACTGGAAGTTTGAATATAACTTTTTATTTTTTTCAAATAATTTTATTAAGAATTATAAATGAAGAGAATAAAAGCCAATACAGGCTATAAAAAATACAAACAGAAAAATACAAAAAAAAAGAAAAGAAAAAGAAAAAGTAACTTCCCCCTTCGTCCCAACAAGTAAAGACAATCTTAGTAGCTTATTATCTCTAAATAGAACATAATCTCTCTTCACCTCATATTTCATCTATTGAATAAAACGAAAAATCCAAATGTTTCGTCACTCGTTCTTTATCGCCAAAAATCCAGTAAGGCAACCAGATGTAACTATTTTTCTCCTTTAGCCCTGGTCAAATAAGCCAACCTTGTATTCTTTCCCTGAGTTTTTGAAGATATCTTTTAACCCCTTTAAAAAGAATCCCACAGTTTCTGTTTATCTGTGTTTGAAGCCAAAAATCTTTCAGAACTTAAGTAGATTTCTTTTGTATATCCAATAGATAAAGTTTGTCCTTTTGTCTGTCACTTCTAATAAAGTCCTTAACAGAGCTCTTTTGTATATCTAGTTAAAAAAAATATCCAACTCAGTTTCCTGATTTAATATTTGTATATCTCCTTTTGGGAACAAGTCATCCATGGGGTCCATTTGTGTGCGCATATCTTTCTCATTACTTGTTACATTTAAGTCCCCCTTCAAAGTAATGTCAAAATCATCCATTTTCTTTATCCTCTAGCTCCCTCTAGTCCCCAACCTTCAAAGTCCCCTTATGAAAAAAAACTCAAAACAATTGCCATTCTTCCCATGGGAAAATTTCTTCTAGTTAATTCAAAGCTTTGTGGGCATTTAAAATTATAATTCCAAGTCCATCTGAGTCCTTAATCGATTGTTAAACTTTCTAAAGTCTATATTCTGAGCACCCACTGAGCAAAGATGGTTCCTCCCTTGACACTCAGCCGCTTGACCCATAGGCAAACCACGAATCAACTATTCCTGCAGTTTACTCACGAGGAGCGGCTGTGCGGAGTCACGTGGGCTATCTCAAAGATCTCTCCTTAATCCAGAGAGCATTTTGGCAGCCAGGATCCTGCATCCTGTGCTGATCTCCATTGTAACACTGTCCTGCTGCAAAAAGGGGCATTTAGCTCGCCATGGCTCTCAACCAGAAGTCCTGAATATAACTTCTCAGACTTCATACATTATGCATGTTTCCTCTAAATTAAAAACTGCCAAGTTATTTGAACTGCAAATATTGAAGCAGCTTTTGTTACAGAAAAATAAAATCAATAAGTGATTACATCTGTTCTTTTAAAGAATTCAAGTACTGAGAAATACTTTCTACGTGGCATCCTTGTGACTGCAAATCTGCCTACTGAAGCTACAGGTAAGAATTCAGTTCTTTTATAAAATGTTAATGTTCTAAACATTTAAAAATGCAAACTGTGTTTAAAAAATAACCTGGTTCAAACTACACAATGAAATTCCATTCACATTTCTTAAATTGGCAATAATGTACATTATTATTTATTCTCCAAATGGTTTTCCAAATCCTTAAAAAAACCCCAAGTATTAAGGCATAGGCCTCTTGATTAATTTGTCAGTCATGATTTGATGGTTCCTAACTAAATAAGCAGATGCCTTTTGAACTTACTGTTTGATGGAGGGCAGAACATCAGTAGCTAGCAATGGTAGACTGCTCACTTTTAGCTCAGCTCTTCATCTTGCTTTCACTAGTATTAAGTCTTTTTAAACTAAAGTCACATGTAATTCGGATTGTTTCTGTTAAACTTTTGCAGAAAAAAGTATTAAAGCTGTCAACAATAGCCTGAGTGCTCTAAAAGCTACAATTGGAAAATCTTACAAGTGTGTTGCAGAAGAGATCATTTGGGTTTCAGACAAAGCTTCTCTCAATATATACAATGTTCAAATTCAGGCTTTCAAGATTGCAGGAGACAAATTTGGAGCAGGTGAGATCTCTGAATATAGAGTTAAAACATAGTTTGATGCATTCTTATGAAGCAGTTGAAATGTTTTGTTCAAATGTATTTTTGAGCACTTTAGGCTCATGCCCTTTTAAAGCAGTGTTGAAAAAATATGATATAGTATTCTAAAGAGGTCAACACTGCAATTTCTATTACATGTGGAAAAATTCAACATAAAAAAAATAAAACAGTCCTATGACAATGGGGAATTGAGATTACAGCCATCTGATTTTTCTCTTAAGAAATGGCATCTGCCACCTGTTATAATAGCAAATTTATATATACAAATAGAAATATATGTTTTTGGGAACTTAATCCAGAAATGTGTGTCCTCATTATTATTGGAATCACATAAAAATGTGTCAAATAGATCAAATACTAGCAAAGTAGTATAAGGCCATTGGGAATTCCACCATCAAAAAGAGTGCCTGTTATAAGTGCCAGTCTTTCTAGTCCTTTCCATAGGTGTCTCAGCTATGATAATTATTGTGTCTAATTGTAACCAGTTATGCTAATGATGTAATATCCCCATAGAAAACTGGGATATGTAATTTTTCTTATCTATGGGTTAAGCAGTGAAATGCATATAGATTTATATGACCTCAAAGAATATTTGAAATGGTTATGGTTATCCCATCTTTCCCCAAAGATTAATGGCAGCTTAAGAAATGCGAAGTATTTTAAAGGAAAGTCATCCCATGACACTAATTTCCCATTATCAGAACATAAAGTGAAGTAAACATTCTCCAGGGTCGCAGTCTTAAGTAACTGCCAGCTGAAGTAGGCAAATTGCCATTATCTGAATCTTTTAAGACAATGAAAGATTAAGGCAGTTCAAGATGCCTCTAATTTTGCAAGAGGATAATACCAGAACTGTTAGTAGGATGGTCCCGTGGCACAAGATATGTTGTTTTACTCTTCATATGGTACAGTGCTGTTGTTAGTTGATTGCAAGTGTTCAGCAGGGCTTGTATTTACCAGAACAATTTCAAATGCTCAGTAGAGTATAGAGAGAAGGACTGGAATTTTACAAAGTTTACTTTGTCAGGCCTGATGGGGAAACCTTAATGTCCTGCTGAACATGCTTATGGTAAGTAAGTACCTCTTTGCCAGTTTCAAACTGGAAAATAAGCGTGTGCCTGGTTTCTTCTGGAAGGTAGGATCTATGGCCAGATAGAAATCTTCAATTTCTGAAAATTAGAATAGATTTCTTTATGTGGTAGAACTGCCTAAAGCCAAGCTAAAAAGGACTTCTACCACTAGGACCACTTTTGGGAAAACAGAAATTTATACATTTTATTCGATCATTGGCAAGTGAAGTGTCAAATTGCATTTCTTTAGTTTGAGTGGAGATGGCTTTTTGGCAACTAGATAACTCCTAGAGGTGGCTGGTTTCACACATTGCTTCTAGCCATGTTATTTGTTTGTCCTAATGTTGTGGGAATACCAACAATTTTATTCAGTGATTATAACAAATCATACTCTAGCACAGTGTGAGTACCCTATTTGTAAACTTAAAGCTAATTATCCACATATCAGGCAATAGATTTTTACCACTGCATTTTGAATGGTGCAAATAAAATTCTGCCAGGTGTTAGTTTTTACATCTAGTGTAGTAAATAGTATCTGTGGTCTAGGTTCAATCAGGTGCTTTGACAAATGATAACACTCTATTGAAATAATTACACTGTACTTGCCTTGATCTTTTATCAGAGTTTTAAAATGGAATTTATTTATTTTTCTTTCAGTGGAAGAATGTCAGCTGGATGAAAATAATATGTTGATCCCTATTGTAGTTGGTGCAGCCCTCGCTGGACTTGTCCTTATAGTGATGATTGCATATTTAATTGGCCGAAAGCGTAGCCATGCTGGTTATCAAACAATTTAATGATTTGCACTGAATTAAACCAGCATGGAAGAACAGCAGTTGCAAGAAGCAGAAAAATTGATTCCCCTCCCCATCTTCTCCTCAGTTAGATTTATGAGGGAGCACAATCTTTTCCTTAAAACTGTTTCTTGCAGTGTCTGCTTTACTAAATGTGAAATCCATCTTGTGGCATTTAACTATGCACAAAGGATAACTTTAGTTCTGTTTAATTTTGCTAATGGGTTAACTATTTGCCCATCTAGAAACAGGCTGAAATTTTATGAATGCTTTTCTGAATTGGCATGGTTTATAATGTCAACTACTTAAATGAGGATGATATAGGTACTTCATACTCCACTTAAATTCAGATTAATTGTATTTAACAAAGGGAAATTTCCACTTTCTGGTACTACCAACCTGTGCTGACCTAAGTTACTGCATTTACAGTAATGATTGACCAATCAACCTCTGCTATTCCCACTTTGCCTCTACCTAGGTGTATATCATTAATCTTTAAATGCTAAGCTTGGTATATGCAAAGTGTGAAAATAAAATGTGGCTAACTCTTAATATATTTTTGGTCTGTCAGCATAGTAGGAGCTGGCCCTTTTTTACATGAAAATGGGTGTTACTTTATTTTTGGTAAAGTGAATTTCAGTCTCTTTTGTTGGAAGTTCACAGGAGATCCTGTTTCTGCACATGTGTACAATAGATTTCAATCTGCTAATTCTTGCTTTGACTCTGGCTGGGACTGTACACTGCAAGGATCAGTTATGAATGCATTGCCTGTAACAATGCTAATAAACACTTTTCTGTATGTTCTCAGTGTTCTTTTAAGCAATTATAAGGCTGCTTTGATTTTGAAGTAGATGAAGCTTGTTTGGAGGGTAAATTTATTACCTCATATTGTTGTAAACTAGAAGCCTAAAAATATTAATTCATATTTTATATTTTAAACAATCTTCTTTCAGTCCTTACATAGTTTTTTCTTGGGGGGTGGGGGTAGGGTTACCATTAAACAAGTGGATCTGTGTGGAATTTCCCTGTCACACTTTGATCTGAGCTCTTGTGTTTGCTGTAGATCCATCCACAGGGATTTCCTACGATGCAACAGCAAACTGATTTAAGATGTTACATAGTAGATTACTATTAAGAAAAAAGACTTGGCATTCATTGATAGAACAACTTGCCCATTAGCAAGATATGGGAGTACATAGGACACTCCAGCTCTTGGGCAACAGACAATTCTGGGATGAAGCAGGTTATTCAAGAGAACTTCTCATGAAGCACGTCTGCTCACTACATTTGTGTGCAGTAAAGTAGAAAGAATTAAATGTCATAAAGCGCTTGTTTTCTACATTTGCTGTAGGGTGTAACTCCTGGTGTTTTTGATTCTACCATAGCTCCCTATCCAGAATGCTTCATTCTGCTTTAAATTCAAAGTGTGTATATATATGTGTGTGTGTGTGTTCATATAAATAAAAATATTAATCTCATTTAGCAAAGCCAGACAAGAGAAAAGGGTAGATACGTTATTCTTAAAAAACAAACAACCTTGAGATTAAGTGGAGCATTAGTTTCATGAACAAAGATCTCTACTTAAAGTCCAGAATCTTAACATGGTTACAATTCAAAAAAGGATAGTTTCAAATATACTTTTATTAGTTTTGTATTTTGTTATTACAAAAATGTCTGAAAATATATAGTCCATTTGTTGAAAAGGGGTTGCATCTACATAGATTACATTTTATTTACATAATAATTAAGGTGTTTGTGCTTTTTTTAAAAAAAATCCCACTGGACACATGAAAGACTCGGGCTAATTAGTGAAGTGTCAATGGCAGCCTGAGAAAATCGCTTATCTGAGCAAGTGAAGGAATGTTCATTTATATTGGAGCAATCAGATTTGCTCTACACGTATCTCGTAGTTTGTTTATTGTAGCCATTCGCAGACTTCCAGGTTCTGTAAATATTTTCTAGAATTGAAAATTAAAGAATTAGCATATACTAGGGTGCAAAAAAATATCTGAGAAGGTGCTTCAGGTTATAAAACAAGCAGAATCACACTGATCAGCAAATGCCATGAGGCAAATTTCTCTTCCTAGAATGGGATGGATCACATTATTGAATGGGCTCAATAACTAACAGTTCTTTTTAAATCAACAACTTATAATGTTCTGCATGTATTTCTTAATGCTCATGATAGTTAATCTTCAGATAGTTATACAATACATTAGACCATGGAAACTAGTGAATATTAAGAGTCTTGCACCTGTACTCTTTACAGTTTCAATATTGGAAATATTACAACAGCCACTTGGTCAGATAGATTTAGGGCTAATTTTCCTTTATAGCTAAGTAGAGCTTCCATGTTATTTATGCTGTAATTGTAACTTTCTCAGGGTAATCAGGCTGGCCAAAAATTAGATGGGTCTTTGATCTGACTCAGCAAAATTTCAGAGAATTTAAATCTGATCCTAGACATTTTTAGATGACAAAATCAAGAGAGAATTGTGCTTGGGAATAATTAGAATACTGTGTTACATTTAACAAGAATATTGAGTTGCAAAAAAACAAACTAAAAAACCAATTAAAGCACCAGTCTTATGCACAAAGACTCCTAGCTTTCAGAGCAAAGGTGGATAAAGAAGACATGGTAGATATCCATAAAATCATGCACAATATGGCAAATATGAAGAGAGTTTTTTCTCAGAATGAATGACCTTGGGGTCATCCACTAAAGCTAAATACAGGGAGATTCAAGACAATATGGTATATAAATAAACTTTAACTGTAGAGTTTGGTGCCATGGCCACCAAAAATGGTTTTAAAAAGGAAATTATACACATTTATGCAGATCAAACTACCAGTAATTAACTAGGCTGGACGGTTGTATCCTGACTCAACAGGCAGCATATTTTAAATGCCAGCTGCTGGACAGCAAGAGGACTATTTCCCACTTTTGTTCATGTTTGGAGATAGAATTTGCCACAATGGCACATAGAATGCAGGACTAAAGGGACCTTTGACACACTCCAGCAAGGCTCAAAAGCTTGTAGAGAAGGGTGTATCTCAGCTTTCCAGAGATTTAGTGTTACACAGTATCTATGAAACGTGAGGATGCCACTAAAACTGTGAAGCCATATGAACACATGGCTGTTGCTACTCTGTGAAGCTAATTGAGACTAAGTTGACACAACACCCTTGGAGGAAAGTCATGAATACAAATGCTTTGGTAAAGCCTACTATTCAAACTGACTTTTGAAAAGTAATAGCTTCTTAAACATTTTCTTACCACTACCAGAAGTTCCATAGAAAGCATATCCATAAAAGTAAAATGAGCATCTAGATATCCATTACTTATTATCTGTGTGTACTTAGCTATTTTGGTTATGCAGTGGTGAGAAAGTGGGTGACTCCATAATGCTGTGCATCACTTCCAACATGATCTATGCTTCATCTGAGTCTTATATACACCTTCTCCAGCCAAGAAACAATGTTGGCTCAATGTATTTGGTAAAGGCATGACACAGTACACCATTTTGTGTGTTGTTTAACCAGAACCTGTTTAAAAAGATGAAGCCTAAATCTTGCACATCACTGTACTGCAGAATGATGGATAGCTCTAGGGGTTTTTGAAAGTTTCACTACTATGTTGCATCTGCAGAGCAAAGCCTGAAGCACAGCATCATAGGCTGGATCCATACTTGCCCTTCTATGGAGGGAGGACCTACTTTCAGTTACAGAAGGGTCCAAAAGTTCAGAAAGGTGGACAGGGACAAGAGACCAAGGTTCAAATTCCCATTCAAGCATGGTATTCACTGGATAACCTCAGGCCAGTTTTTTAAATTTTTTGTTAAATTTGTATTCTGTGTTTGGTTCAGGAGGTTAAGGCAGCATACGTAACATTCCCCACCTCCAATTTTTCCACACGTGACAACCCTGTGAGGTAGGTTGACTGTCCTAAAGACATCTAGGGAGCTTCTATGGCTGAAAATGAACTAGAATCTGGGTTTCCCTAATGCCACTCAAACACCATCCACTCAACTTACTCCACTGGACTTCATTTTATCTTTTGTGAGGATAAAATGAAGCTGACTCCCATGTATGGCACTTTGAGCTGAGGAAAAGCAGGATTTTCCCCCACCAACTCTTTTGTGCAACCTTTAGCTCTGTATCTTATTACTTGGATGGTCCTGAGTTCTTTTAACCTATTAGAAGTGTTTTTCAAAAGGTTTCAGAAGAAAGGGTAAAATAGACAAAATCATTCCTCCTATATGTAAAATTAGAACCACACATATCTTGGATTGAAGCAGTCACTCACAGCTTAGTCACCTCATGAATGGATTACTGTAACATGCTCTATGTGAGACTGCCCTTAAAGACCACTCAGAAGCTACAGCTGGTCAAGAATGCAGCACCACAGACAGTGAGAGGCATACCTCATGGTCCCATTGTTCTGTGAGCCACACTGGTTACTGGTTGGCTTCTGGGTGCAATTCAAGGTGCTGGTTAGTGCCTAAGAAGTCCTTCGTAGCATAGGCCTGGTTATCTGAGGGACCGCCCATCTCTGGTGAGATTAGGCAGCATGAATGTGCTTTGGATCCCATCAAGCAGGGTCATCTAGCGGAACCCAGGAAGCAACGCCTTCTTTGTCATGGCACCTGTCCTCTGGAATATCTCCCCCCAGAAGATGGCTCTCACTCTGATGACATTCAGGCAGCTATTAGAGACCTGACTATTCTCCCAGGCTTTTTTCTCCCAGGATGATTGAGCCCATTGGATGGGGCTTTTTTGGTTTATATGTTTGTCTTTGAGCTGCTCATGATCTCTGTTTTGGTATTTTTTTCTTTTTAAATATGAGTTGCCCAGAGTTATTGGGTGTTGACCAGCCTACAAATCGCATAACTAAATAAAACATACTTTAAAAGTTAATGTTGAAACATACTTTGTAAAGCCTGCTTAAACAATATTCTGAACAACTGAACGCAATTATAGCAGAGTTATAGTTTTCTAGAATGCCACCTACCTGCATGAAAAGATGACACTCTGTTACAAATGGTCCTGTAGTAATCTGCTTAAATTTTTCACATATTTCGGGGAAATTTGTAGCTTCCAAAATGAAATCTTGGTGTTGCTTAATTAATGTTAAGGCCACACGAAATATTATTTTTGATCCTTCATAGAACAAACAGTCCCAAATTCGGAGTACAGTCTGTAGAAGAATGAAATTAGTCATCACTGAAGTGCATGAAATACATGTGCTAGAATTTGGATAATTAAATAAAAGGCAAGTGCACACAGCTCAAGTTGTCATCAGTTCTCACTTGCCTCTACTGGAAGAATGTCAATGAACAAACATATAAACCAACGGGACACCACCAAAGTCCACAAGTTGCCATGCTTTTCCATTAATTCTGCCACAGCTGGAATCTTCATCTTCACAAGGTGTCCAAGAACTTCTTGATCTGTTTTCAGACCCATCATTTCTGGACTATAGTAATCTTTAGAAAGATGATACAAAAACTAAGTCACCAGAATGCAATTTATTATTTTTAACATGTTCTGTAATAAATATGTAACAGTAAGAAACGCATCTTCTTTCAAAGCTAATTTTCACCTTGTCTGGTCCATTGGTTCTACTGTGAAATTATGAAATTCGACTGGTGAAGTTGAAAAAGTATGGAAGACTAAGCTGTATTACAAGTTTTGACTGAGGACAATTTGCAGTAAACCGATAAAGTCCAGTCACCTATGTTCTTGGACAGGGACAGAGAATAAAGTCTAGCAAGAGTAGGTGGTGCTGGAAATATTTTTTATTACCACTAGCTGGGACTCAGCCTGGATGAAGCTTATTTCCAGTCCCTAATAATTATGAAAAGGTATATACAGATGTCGAATTTACGTAAAACTACAGACTACTTTACATCTTACGGAAAGTATGTTGTATGCTGAGGTATGACACTGGTATGGTACATCTAACTGCAAAGGGCAAATAATAATAATCATAATAATCCCATCATAAGCCATTTTTCTCAATTCACTTGTACTGCATGAGAGAGAAAAATGGCCACACCAATTCTTAATCAAGCCGCCAGATGGCGCTCCATAACTTGGCATAGAGTGCCATGCAGTAAATTCCAGGTTCCTGTAATCATTCCAGGATCGGTTGAAAGAGAACAGCAGTTGCTGCTTTCAGTCTCCAAAAGCAGAGCAAAACCTACAGGCCAAAACTGTGTGCAAGAATAGCAGGCATTATTCCACACCATTAGGAATGCTACCAGATCAAGGTTAGACATGCCACTGCTCTGCTTTCTTGATCATATAATAAGCAAACTCCCAGAGGAGAAAGATGGAAGATTTTAAAAAGAAAACATTAAAAGATTTCACACTACAAATAATGTATGCCTTTCCACTTCCATCACATACCTTATTACACATGGAAAATTACCTTCCAAAGAAAAAAGGAAATGGGAAATATAAAAATCCAGTGGAATACAGAGATGAAGCATTTCTCAATGCTTCATTAACTAAAAGCTTTCAAATACATAATTTTGTCTTGCCTTTGTTTTGCAGTTTTCAAGTGATTTACTGCAACAAGCATTCCATTTCAATATTTTACATCAGTCGCAGACCAGTATAAATAGCACAGAAGCACTAAGAATTATAACCAAGAAAAGACTATCATTAAAAGCCATAGACTATAAAATACATAAAGCCTTTTACTGTTGATTAGATTTATATCCCACTTTTTGTTCAGGAGCTCAAGGCAGCATACATAGTGTTCTGTCCTCCTACTTGTCCCCACGATAACCACACTGAGGTTGTTTGGGTAGAGAGAGAACAATTGTCCCAAAGTTGCGTGAGGGACAACTAGAACCGTGTTTCCTTGCTCCTAATCCAGCACCAGGACCACCACACCACATTGGCTCTTAATGCTTCCTCTTACATTTAAAGGAGGTGGCAATACCCAGTCATGCTGCTAGCTATTACAATCCTCCAAGGAATACTCTAGTTGCAATGTACAACATACATCAAGAATCAGCTATCTAAAATAACGTATTCTGATGGCAACAGAAGCCTCAAGAGGCACTAAATCACTGAAAACCATGCAAACACATATTTAAAATCCAGGAAAGAGAAAGAGTTTTATTCTAATGCTGAAAAGTCAACCTGGGTCCCAGGAGAAAGAGTTCCACAGCTGAGGAACACGCCCGCCCCCCACATCCTACCATCCATACTAACGGATCAGCGTAATATGAATATGGCAGATTGTATTAAAATGGCATAAGCAGCAGTATTTTTATTGCAGCTCTAAACTGACCAGGAAAAGATATTAGTAAAAATGAAGCACGAGTCAGAACTTAATTACATTATCATAATGCTGTATGAAGTTCAGTTTACTACTTATATTAATGAACTAGGTAAAGATAGAGAATGAAAATGACTACTAAGGCTTCTGCAATCTCCTAAAGCAGCCGGTATTTTCAATTTCTTTTCATTAACATTATTGCTTATGATTGACCAAAGCCTAAAGCATCCGAAGTTGCTTATTATTTTCTCTCTCTCTTGCATGAATAGACTCAAGTTTTAAAACAGCTGAAAATTCTTGTAGGCAGATATCTTAGCTAACTTGGAATTGA